CTTCCTATTCTTTGTCCTGTGTCGTGCCTTTAGGCTCTTTAATTGTCCTGTTTTCTTAATGTTCACTGTCCTATTTTTGTCTCCAATGCTGTTTTGTTTTTGTTTTCTGTCTCAGGTGAATGGAGTGACTACAGAGGGCCTGAGGCACTCAGAAGTCGTAGGCCTCATCAGAGCAGCAGGGGATGAAGTACGCCTCCTAGTGGTGGACCAGGAGACAGACGAGCTCTTTAACAGACTGGGAATCATACCTACTATCACCCACATTAAAGGTTAAATAGTGCCTGTGCTATTAGACATAGTTATTTTTGTTCTTGAGAGGAAATGCTCATTATTGTTTCTGTTTTCACAGAAGTGTGTGTGGATGACCCAGCCCCTGAGAGTGAGCCACCTACGCCCTCTCCAACCACTGAATTCTCTGCCACAGATGCACCGATAATAAACGTCACCATGACAAACTCCCTGATTACAAAACTGTCTCCCAAGTCCCGTACCAATGGCAGCTCAGCGTCCCAGTCCTCCAGAAGTTCCACCACCCAGTCAGAGATCAGCAGCTCAGACATGAGCTTTCAGGTGAGAGAGGAATTATTTATGAGATCCATCTTAGGGCTTGAAAAGAAGGTGACTGGACTTCTTTGAACAGAGGGCGTGGCTTACAACACCAACTCTCAGGCACTTATAATGCACTCTTGAGCTCTCTTTCCAGGTTCCTCAACCCCTACTCACACCTGATGAGAATCCACACCGTGCATGTGGTGACCTAATAGGCCTCACCTTGGGACTCTCAGCCTTTTGGTTTTTAGGCACAGTCACCTTCTTTTCAAGCTCCTAAGACTACCGTGACCTGTATGACTCAGAACCTACACAGAAATGATTTGCGAGATCAACAATACGATCTGAAAATGATAGTGTAATTAAAGAAAGTGTGTTTGTGTGTACTGTAGATCCCTGATGAGGATGACAGTCATATTCCAGACCCTTTTATGGACAGCGGTCTGCGTCTTAGCCCAACAGCTGCCGAGGCTAAGCAAAAGGTCCTGTGCAGCCGCAACAGGAAAAGAGCACCCCCTATGGACTGGAGCAAGAAACAAGAGATCTTCAGCAACTTCTGACCCCAGTAAGGGGTAAAGTAAGAGACTGAAACAAAGTGGGGATTGATATCATGATTGTTGCAAGAGCATAGCTTCACTTTGCAAAGCCATGTGAAAGGAAAGAGGTGCAAGGAGATAAACTGTATAAGGAAAGGAACATTTGCGGTAATATTCTTAAATTTTATTCTGTGTACAAAATCATTTTAAGATATTGCATAATATTGTCTATATGTCTACTTTCCAGTGTCTTTAAGGACCAAGACATGCCCTGTGGATGTGTCAGGAATCTGGCTGTATTAAACAATGACATTTGATGATTGGCAGACCATTTATTGTTTTTATGGTGCCCAGACCACAGAGAGTGTATTAAATCATAGCAATTTCAGAGCCATGAGCACGGTGCTCTCATGTCTCTATGATATTATCGGTACCTGCTGTATTTGCTGTAGATAAATGTTACTTTTTTTCCTCTGTATATATCTATGTCTATATAGATAGATAGATAGATAGATAGATAGATAGATAGATAGATAGATAGATAGATAGATAAAGCTTTTTTTATTATTATTATTTTCAATTATAAATGAAGCCATCAGACTGGCATCCTGGAGTAGGTAGTCACCATATGGGTTCAATATCTCAGCTTAGGTACCATGTGACTTTTAAATGTGAATTCAGGGCAATGTTATATATGATGTTTAATCACTTCAGCACTTTTCTTAAATGGTCCACAGTGATTTCTTCACCAGAAAATATTTCAAAGATAGACTAAGTAGCCTCTGATTACTTGTTTTAGCTTTGTAAATTATTTTCTTGTCAATGTGCCCATTTATTTCTCGCTGTGTGAAATAAACTTTCATAATATGAGCAAAATGCGACAGCAGTGTTGTAATATCCAGGTCTGACAAGCATTTATGCGCAAGGCCAATCCTAACCTTCATCCAGCTGCTTCTGTTTGGGGTCATCTCAGCAGATCATCCATTTCCAACACTTCCTGTTGTCATATTCCTCTGTCGCACGTGTCGCCATCTCTCATCATCTCCACAAGCCTCGTATTTGCCCTTTTCCTTTTGTCTGGCAGCTACAACTATCATTGCTGTGGAGGAATGTTGACAATGATCCAAAACACACCAGCAAGTCAAACTCTGCACGACTCTGAAAAAAAATGAAGGTTTTGGAGTGACATAGTTAAAGTGTGGGCTTAAATCCAACTGAGGTGCTTTGGCGTGACCTTAAACGGGCCATTTATGCTCACAAACCCTCCACTGTGGTTGAATTAGAACAAATCTGCAAAGAAGAACCTAAATTCTTCCACATCGATGTCTAATATTAAAGTTTGTTTGATGATCTGAAACATTTAGGTTGCTCAACTGGCAGTTTCTCATGAATGCTATGACCCGTTCAGCTGTCCAACCACCATCCCTTTGCATCTTTTTCCATTAATCCCACCAAAAGTTGTTAGTTAGCAGAACTGCTGGTATGAGAAACTTTAAAAATCAAGTGCTTTAGCTTAGTGAAAGAAACAACTACATGATTTCAGTATGAAGGTGTGTGCATGTGCAATTCTAAAGGTCAACAATCTTTTGGATTTTATTTTAAAAAGTAAATAAAAGATCTTGTTAGATATTATTTAGTGCGGAAAACAACCAAAACATTCTGTTCAGGTGAAATTATTATAATAATTATTATTATATTATATTTGTAGGTTTGTTCTTCAAGCATTGTAGCAAAAACCAGACCAGAGTGAACTGACACTAAAGTCTTCATGAGATCATGGCAAAAATATCTGGCCCTGTGGGACCATCAGCTCTTCCTTTCTTCTTTGTGAACTTTGTAAATTGAACAAAAGGCTGAATAAGGACACCAACAGAAGATGAAAGCCTGTTCGTATCAGTTTACAGCTGAAACAAACACATATAGAAACAACTGAGCCTACATTTTTATCTGTCAAAGCGAGCGAGCCAGCTTTCTCACAGTTTTTGCGTTGGATGCAGATTTTGTGTGCTGATCTACGTGTGATGGTGTCTCAGTACAGAGACGGAAAAGGGACAGATAAGAAAGGGAACACTGGGACAGAAGTGATCAGACAGAAAAGAGCTTAACTCGGGGGTGTCCCTGAACTTTCTCTGTCCAAACGTCACCTCAAGCTTCAGGCTAAATATTGAGGTGGAGCTCTGCTGCATAGCAGAAATCTGAAATCGCATGTAATACGGTCCTGGAGATTTCTCACAGATCTTCAGTTGTTTACATAATAAATATGGCCTTTAATTATAAACTGCAACATTTAGGCTGGTGTGTTAACATTTACAAATACTGTATCTTTACACTATTTTCCGAAAGCAGCATATTCTGTATTGTATTCTGAAATTGTATTTTCATGTTAATGCAACCATAAGGAGATCATCATTTTTGTGAAAAACAGTTGTTTTCCTCGTTACATCACTGTAAAAATGGATTCCCTCTCATGTACCTCGACGAGTTTGCAAACTGTAAACAAAGCTTCATGATGCAGTGTTATTCAACTCTAACACTCTGTATAAATTAAATTTTCTTAGCTCCATTACCTCATCCTTAAATCTTGTGATTGAGTGCAGCTGCTTTAAATTACTGTGTATGAGTTTATATGAAAGCTGGATGTTCGTGCACATTATAAGTCATTAAAAGTCACTGAATTCTCCTTTTTAAGCTTTTTTTGTTTTGTTTTTTTAAGTAATTAATTTTTTTTATTGCTGATAGAATTTTTTTAATTTCCCACAAACCTCTTCAACTGGCTGAGAGATCTCCATTAAATATCCTGGAAACAGTTGTGAGCTCTGAGAAATTATACGTCCCAGATGTTTGTGGTTCAGTCTCGGTGAGTGAAATTCTTGTATTTTATCAACGTAATTAGAAAGTAGCCTATGTATGTCTGTGCATTGTAGCTGTGCAATTTAGGGAGTCACTCCTGACTTTAAAAGTATAACATGGCTGTGGCCAAAATGCTAATATGGAGGCTTCAAATGCAGAATCCATGAACTAAAGGTTGTTGTTATATACACTCGTATATGATATTTTAGTTCACAGTTAAAAGTAGCTGAGAAAGTAATGTTATGCATGTACCATGTTACTTTTATGTTGAATGTGTTTAATCACTGACCCAGTTTGCAGTCTGAGGAGTCTGCGGTGGACTAATCATATTACTCATTATAACATTTTATAAACGCATTTCCATAGATGTGCCCAAAATGCACTACAATGATCAAAACAATACATCTTAATTTTGAAAATGAAATTGGTATTTTAAAAATAATCTACACTGTGCAGTGAAAAATGTGTGAAATATATACAAAGTTCATATTTGAAATTAAGTAAATAAACTGCAGATACAAGATACAAACATCTGAATATGCCACATTTTCTCTCTGTGAACACCTACACATTAAAGTAACTGTTCTTCCTGTTCCTCTAGATCTATAAGTGACCCTTGCAGATTAAGAGACACTGTAATGTTTTCTGGGATAAAGGTAACAGTTTAGCGGGACTGCTGGGACGTTTGCATCATTACTTTTCAGTACAAGATCCAGGTCTGCTGTGAAAACTAAACAGAGCAAGGGATGTTACTTTTATTTCCTGAGACTCCTGCAGTGCGCTTTTGTAAAACATCCACCTTTGTGCCACGTAGAGTTCCTGACGAGGTGACCTGAGGAAATTCTGGTAACATTAATATTTCCAGAGATGGCTCATGGCTGAACATGATGGAGTTTGCAGCTCAGTTTTGCATGAACAGAAAATACAGCATGAAAACAAACAAACTTTTAAGCCCCTTTTAAGGGCTAAGGATTTTTAAGAGTTAAGAATTCATGCCAAACCGTCATCCTTTGATAAAAAACACTGGACTGGCAACTGTAACAATCATCTTTCAGCATGCACGTCATGATTTATTTCAAGACTCCACTATCCATCTGGACTTTTGAGATTCCACACAAACTATAAATCATATAATAGACTTGAAAGCATTTTTATTTCTATTCCCATCTTCCAAAAAAGGGAACACGACTGGCGAGAGGAATTCACAGGAAAAACAAAAAGTACCAAAGTCTTTCTGCCAAACTGCAACATTATCATGCTTTTTATTATATAAACAGAACGGACACATAAACTGCTTCTTCTCCTCTTAAAGAAGCCGTGACGCCCCCACTTTCACTTCAAATTCATCATAATTTTGACTGGCACTGAAGCAGACAAAGAAACAAAATACACCGACGTTGCCAATACAAAAACTGCTCATGAAGATTAAAAAAAAATAGCAGTAAAGCAAAAAACCACAAACATTTGTGTGTTTTCAAGCTTTGAACTAAGAGACAGTGGCGAGAGAATTAAACTGGGGTTGAGATTGTCTCATATTTGAAATAACTAAGGATCGGTTTGATTATCTCTATGGTCACAGTCTAGGTCAAACCAAGTACCACTGCGTGTTTCCAAATGTCAACATGCTGCAAAACACTGGCAGATTATCAAATGGAAAAAAAAAATCCCTGTAGTCAATTTTGCTGGAAAAACCTTAACAATGATTATCCATAAAAGCCCCACTGTGCGTCTAACTCTACACCAGCACGACAAACAAGGTGACTATTGGAAATAGCAGCTCACCTCTAATCACTGTCTGCTTTTAAAATTTCAGTGGCTATTGCTCTTTGGCAGTGTCCTAGCTTTTATTATTTTAAGTGTACTGTGCTCTTGTCTTATTGTGATTTGAGGTGGTGTGTTGGTGTAAAGGGCAATCATTTTATTCTAAAATATCCATCAAACTGCACACACACACTTTCACACATACACGCACGCAAAGTGAAAACACCGACACTGAGCATGCACACAAAGTATGCTGGGGCAGGCTACAACCCTTCCAAATACAGAAAGAAAATATAATTTGCATCCCTACTGTGCACACATCATAACTAAACTATCAAAAACATGCTCATAGGTAAAAAAAAAAAAAAAAAAAAAAAAGGTACTCATGCGCACCTACACATGCAGGATCCCACACACACACACACACACATTCACACGCACACACGTACCACTCAGCAATATGGCAAGGTTAGTCATTGTAAAAGTGCGGATTAGTCGCAGTTTCACAAAGTTATTTTTATTTGCCATTTAGTATTGGGATATTTTTGCCAGTCACAGACACTTAATTTCACAGTGCAACACAGTATGACAAACACTGACATTAGGGTCAAAACATATCATATGGGTGAGGTTAAAAAAAGAATACATACAAAAACGAAATATAGGTAAAATAAAATAAAAAAAGTGCAAAAAAACAACTTAACAGTCACTGAAAATAGCATTAATTCATTTTTTGTGTTAAGTGTGCGAATTTAAATCCACTATATAAAAAAACAAAAACAAAAAAAACAAGAATCATCAGTAGCAGCAAAAAAGGACCAGTTTTAAAACATTATAAAGATCACAATGACACTGCCAATCACTGTTTTACTTAAGATATTGATATGGCATCAAATGGATATCAGTACGAATGTAGACAAACACATACACACTCACACACATACAAAAAAAAACCCCAAACACACACACACACACACTTGGTCACAGTTAACAGGTGCCAAAGGACATCGCGGTGGGAGTCAAGTTTTAGCTCGGTACCATATCAAAAACAATACACATTTCACGGACTGTTAACACAGAATGCCGAAGTAAGGATTTATAAACTGCACATGCACACACGTGCGCGCGTGCACATTCACACGCACAAAACTGCACAGAGACAACTAAAAATGTGATTTTCTTGGTAATATTTCCTCCCCCTCTGGTGAGAAAACAAATGTGTTAGCCCTAATCCTCCCTTCCTAGAGGAATGGTTGCTGTGAAGCCAAGAGGAAAAGATGCTTAGTTTTTTTTCCCTCCTGCTCTCTTACTCTGGTTTGATCAGGTAGAAAATGTGACAGGAATACGTCTGATAGATAGAAAGCTCTGTGAAGCAGCACTCTGGTCAAAAATGAAGGTAGGAAACACAGATGAAGATAGCTAGATTATCTTACAGTTAAGTATTGTTTCAGTGACTATGGATGAAGTAATTTATACTGAATCCTATTCCCCGGAAAAGAAATGTATCACCCAGAAAATGAACAGAATTTAGACACCTGTCGGTCCCTAACTACATGTAGTAGGTCTTAAAAAGTCTAAATTATAGTGCCACCCACAGTCTGTTACATGTACTGAATGTACAGCATGTGCAAGTTAAAGTGTGAGAGTCTGTGTTCATTGGTCTGTCTCTGTCGGTCAAGAAATCTATTACTCTTAAGTTTAAGAATCCCATTAAAATCTCAGCTGTCCCTGTCCTCAAAGCCAAGTAACAGACCTTTCTGTGGCTCTTTTTTCCCTTTCTTATTACTGAATTCCCTCAGTTTCTTTCCCTGAACTCACTCTATGCTGGTATCTTTTCCTGCCTCTCCTCTTTCCCATCCTGTCTCTCCCTCCATCTCTTCTCCGTCTCCTTCTCTCTGTCCCTCTCTATCTGTCCCTACCAGTTAGTTTTTCTGTGTCAGGTCCCTGCCTAGTTAATCTAGAGGTGTCCTCCCTGTCCCTCCCTCCCACCCGCCTACCCTCCCTCTATGGACAAACACATAGGGCGTGGGGGCCGTCCATCAGGGGGAGCGGCCAATAGCATCCCTCTCCCTCCCCCCAGATCAGGGCAGTGCAATACACAGATGGATGAGTTTCCCATTCACCCTCCTCCTGCTGGCTCACCTGGAAGGAGCGAAAAGTGAGAGAGAGATGGACACAAATAAGTTCATATTACTCAAATGCAGTTTGTGCCTAAAAATGCAGTTTAAATGAAGCTGGATGTGGCATTACCTCTTAGGTGGGTGTAGAGAATCTAAACCCCATAGCAGGCTGCCAGTCTCTCCTTCAGCAGTGGTGGGAACTGCTCTGAAAACTGTTGCCAGTTCTCCTCCCCAACCTGCTCCTTAAAACCATGCAAGATCTTTGGAAACAGAAAAATGGCATCTCTTCAATATCTCAAACAGGCAGGAGAAGTGGACTGATCGAGAAACAGTCCAGTGAATCCAGTGATTCAAACCCGCTTGACTTGAAAAAGCATAATTACAACCTCGGGATCTTCTGTTATTATCTGCTCTAACATTTCCACTTTGTCTTTATATGTTATGCTGCAACCACTGCTTACTGCATTACAGACCCACTGAATGTGTCACTTGTGGTCACATTTTAACCACCACAACTACAACCGAGCCAGCAATCCAGCTGAAGGTAGCCGGTTAGCAGTGATTCAACTTTCAAAATAATGCAATATTTCTCTTAGAGGAACATAAAAAATAACAACTTAAATAAGGAGCCATATATAGCTGAGAGAGCCCCGCCTAAGTAAAGTATGTGTGTGCAAAACAGTGTCCAGTAAGTGGTTACTTCCTTCAGGGACATGGAGTGAAACTAATAAGCATCATCCAATATTTTCTGGAGACCTACGTCATATAGTATCAAAATACTATAAACTAGGCCAAAATCCGCTTAGATCAAAATAGTATAAAATAGGGCTGTTCGATATAACGATGCATATCGGATGACGATATGAAAACGTCCATCGTTTCATTTTACGCTATCATTTGTTTCGTGGTGTCGCAAAATAAACTGTTCACGCAAATATTTTTTCATCGTTTTGATGGTCACTGTAGAATTTCTTAAACTTCTCTCTTTCTCTTAATATAACCACACCACGGACGGACAAGCGACCGTTTTTATGCGTTGCTGTTGGCAACAACGGTAAAAGTATTGCGTGGCTCCGCTGTCCGCTTCTTTGTTTTCCACATAAACCTTTCAAAATAAATCTGAAGATCCTGTTGAGATTTTTCAAAATAAACTGAATTACGTGAAATAGCATGCAGTGTTTACGGACAAGAAGCTAAAAAGAGCCGTCAGGTGCTAAAAAATAAACCTTAGACACGCCATATAATAAAAACTCACAAAGAAAATTGCGGCCGTTTCAACTTATGTAACACTCGACTCCAGGTACACGATGCCCAGCTGAAAACACTTCACGCAAGTCGAGATTCACAGAATTTACAGAAAATGTAACATTTTTGTGATACATACCGTTGTCGGGACAATAAATGTCTTATATCAGGATATGAGATTTTGGTCATATCGCACAGCTCTAGTATAAAAGGTAAATTTATAGACCAGGCAGATTTACCAATTTCATTTTGTTCGCCATAGAGGAACGGGGTATTATGAAACAGGTCAGTAATCAAATGCATCAAAGGAAGGGTCCTACACAAGTTCTGTTGCAATGCAATCAGTTTGATCCAAATCCATATTAAGGGTTCCTTTTATAATGAAGCCCAGCACTCTGATACATTAGACTGAATTAAACATTACTGAATGGATCCATGTGTTTTGACGTTTGTCTGTCTAGTCTTAGATCACACTTTATGTGATGGACCCTGAGGGGAATGTGTGCAGTCAGTTTTTCTGCATAGAAACATCCCTGTCTGTGCTGCTGAGGTTCATAGTTAACACTCTGCTGCACACTGCACCTCACACCAAGTCACTCTCAGAGGGAGAGGAGACAGAAGGATGGTACTAGCTGTGGAAACAAGAACTCGCCCCTTAAAATGAGGTGGACCCTCACCTTGTAGAACATGTCTCTCAGGTCATCTTTAGGATTGACCCAGGAGGCCACAGCGTCACAGAAGAAGATGAAGTCCTGAACAAACACAGGAAGAGATCAACCTCAACACTATTTTTTGATTTAATTTACAGCCAAATACGCACACCGTGAATCCTAATGACTGCAACGAGCAGTGTCTCACCTGCACCACACCTCCAGGGTTCACGCCAATCATAATGCAAATCCCACGGAAGGCGGAGTCTTTCTCCTCGTTGTCTCGGATGTTTCGGAGAGACGTACACCTGCATTGTGCAATTATTAACCAGTTAGTGACCGCTAAGGATGATGCTGCCAGAACTGTGAGTTCACAAGTCCCATTTTAATAAGAGATAAACCAAATCAAAAATTTATGGGAGACATGCAAACTGTTGTGTCACTGTGAAAGACGACTTATTTTTCTATTGGGCTTGAAGAAAAGAATTCTTATTCCTCAAGGAATTCAGTAACAATTCTGGAAATCATTTAAAGAATGAAGTTATGTAAATGATAATGCATCCATTAGAACAAAGTATTGTAAGTCTGCATTTTCACTTCAACCTCACTTTTCAGACTCAGAATCAAACCATCTCTCACCAGGGTCGGATGAACTGCGGCAACATGGGCGCGACCTCCTGAGGACACACATAGCCCAGCCGGCCAATGGTGATTGCTGGAAGAGAACAGATGAGTCAAACCTGCTCTTAGATAAATGCGTATCTGTATCTATACAAGTCCCTTCCCTTCCCCTTGAAAGCATGTATAAAATGATCTGTGAAATCATATACCGGTGTTCTCCAACAGGGTCTTGGGAGTATTGGGTCGATTAATAATCTCCACCAGCTGGTTCAGAACCATAGCAATGTATGGCTGCATCTCCACTCCTGACAGAGAAATAAAAATAAAATGAGACGCACGACATCTCACACCGTACAGCCGTACATCAAAAAGTTAGCATAAATACATAGAACAAAAACTGGGCTTCTTCCACGTACCCATCTGCATGCAGATCTCTCCTATGGCCCAGGTAGCGTTGTTGCAGACGGAGATGAACTCTGGGTTCAGATTTGTTCCGAGGATTGGCATGAATTCAGCTAAGAGAGACACAAAATGTTACAAAGCAGAATTATGGGATACGTATATGTATGTACAGGTGTGTAAGGGTAACAGACAGCTAAATGTTTACCGATACAGGGTTTGACATGAGGAAAGCAAGCCTTGGTCAAGTCACCCAGCAGAGCAAATGAACTCTGTCTTACTTCGGGCATCGTATCCTGGGACAAAAGAGACAGAAAGACAAGGAGTAATGTGAATATACACCATCAAATGACTGAAAGAATTTGGCACATCTAACACGTCGTGGCAGTTGTCCTCCTCCTTCTTCTGCGATTTTGAAAAAAATAAATCATTGCAAAACATGAGCAGTCTAAAACAAAAAAAAAGTGTTTCTTTCCAGATAAACCTTCTGTGATCAAATGGCTGCAAGCGCTGAGCACTCTGCTACAAATATAGCACATTTCCTCTGGCTACTTCACATTAAAATTAAATGCAGAGTGAAAAGTAGTGGAAAATATCCTGTTTACATGAGCATTTCTAAATACAACTGATACAAAGAACCAGGGATTTTTTAAAAAAAAAAAAAATCCATTACATGAAATTACACTAATACCGATGTACATGCATGCAGCTAATTTGATTCAGAGAGAGACTCAGAGAGTCATACACCAACATTAAAAATGAAAACGTAAACATATACAGTATTGACTCTGAATGATCTCTGGAAAGGCATTCACACAAACATAGGCTCTCCTCACCTGCATGCATTGGAAAAGCAGGGTCATGATATTACTGCGAGCCACGAGTGTGTCCACGTGGCCTCCGAGTCCCTCTGCCAAGCCACTTAAAAGATCCAAGGCCACAATCATGAAGTCCTTGTCGGGTGCTTCATACTGATCTGGCTGCTGACTGTACATCTGAGATGTACGCAAAACGAGTGTCATTTATGTAAAGCAGCAGAAGCATAAATTGTGAGTAATTAAATATGCATGTTTGGTTCACCATGGCCTGAGCAAGGGTCTTCTGGACCAGGGTGACACAGCGCTGATAGACGGGCTCACAATAGGGAAGGAAGCCGCTCTGCAGCGCTGTGGCAACAGATGACAGACACTCGAGCAGAGGGAAGAGATCTTTGTCCTCATCCTTCAACTCATTCCACTTGGCTATCAGTGGAGGCATCAGCTTTTGTATGTACTCCTAAACAAAACAAGAGGGAGATTTTTGTCTTTGTTTTTTGTCATTTTTTGTGTAAATGCATGCAGTTGTGTCTAAAACGTTCGGGCTCACAGGCTGGTTGAGATGGTGTCCCACAGAGTCTGCCAGTGTTCCTATGGCATCATAGAGGATGAGGAGGTTTTTGTGCTGGTACTTCCCAAAAGCAAAAACCAGGGTGTCCAGGATAAAGCTCAGGTATGGTACCAGCTCTGTGCATGCTTCTTCCTCCAGAGTGGCAAATGCACTTTGAGGAAGGATGCAATTTGTTTAACCACTTATTAGTAAGAAATTAGAAAGCACACAGAAAACAAAGAAAAGGGAAGATCTGTACCTGCATGCAGCCTCTTGTACTCTCTTGTTGCCATCCAGGATCCGTTTGAGCAGCTCCGTCATGAGGGGTTTGAGGTGAGCATCAGGGGGCTGGCTGACCACCCAGTGGGCATAGCGACTGAGGGTCCAGCAGGCAATGGAGCGCACCAAGGCCTTCTTGTCACATAAACACTGGATGAGGTGAGGGATAAGCTCAGGCAAGTAAGGTACCATACCCTGCATACATCCTGGAAGGATAAACATAATTTATTT